ATTCAAGTTGTGTATAGGTATAGGAATATTCAATTGACTAAGAGAAACCAGTACATTGGAAGCTGCTGAAATGTCAACCAAAATTTCATGGAAGAGTTAGAGGAATGCAGAGCTTTCAAAAGTTCACATTACCATAGCAGCTGCCCATGGATTGAACATCAGCAACGAGATTACTGCGAATACGGCAAATGCGATAATACAGATAGCACAGAAGAGATTCCATCTGAAAAGTGGGTCGGAATTATTTCAGTCCTTGGAAGGGACTGAGGTCAATGAACTCACCTCAAGAAGAGATATTGTTCCCAAAACGTGAAAGCGAGACCGTTGGGGAAGTTTGGAAGACCTTTGCTCGTGTAAAGATCACAAACAGCACGGACTTCCTGAAAAAAAAAGAATATTTGTCATATGGAAACCAATACAAATGGAAGGACCGCAGTGTAGGGACAAACAAGGGCTTGACAAATTCCCACATCAAGATCCACTCCGTGACGAAATATGGATAAACAGCGTTTCGGAACTGAGAAGGGCTGACGTTAGCGGGTCCCCCACATTGACTTGCAAGTTATGGATTTCGATAGAATAGAGTGGATCATTTAGAATTGCCCGCTGTTACTTGTTAGTATTCGACTCTCACAAATGGTTAATGATCAAGACGATGGCGCAATAAGGGCAACCCCATCGGAAAACCTAGATGGATCCCATGTACTCCCTTCAAAGTAGAAAATGTGAGTTCCGGTAATAATTCAGCTGAGCTGGGCTAGATTTTCTACTGTCCTATCACTATGGATCGAAATTGCATTGATAAACTGCACTGACGCTGCTCGCTTGAACATTTCAGCGACAATGTTGGAGATTTTGAGATTTTTGAAAAAATTTTTTTGCATCCAACCTTATCCGTTAATAATTTACAATCATAAATCGTATTTAACCATTTTCTAGATGAACTAAGCGTGTACTTACCTCAATCATGTTTACTGTGACAGGTGTATCGGTAAGATTCGTCTGGTAGAATGGTATCTGACAGTAGAGTAATGGACGAGCTGGCGGTACGACCTTCTCTTGCTGGAACACCAACAGCTATTATTCGAATAGGCAAAAAACCCAAAAAAGCTTTCTCAAGATGGTTATGACCAATATTTCGGTTTTGAAATATCATTGGTACGATCGCTTCCGCTTCTGTATGTGCCTCCCGCCGATTTTTTACTATGTTTTATCGCTAGCTGCAAAGTATGCGTACTACGTAGTTGTACTCTTATGCTTCACGATCTTATAAGTATCTGTAACTGCTAGTGTAGAAAGCAAAACGCAAAGTCTTACCGGTCCCATTTGCCAAAACGGTGGTGTAGGCTGGAACGAAGCCTGTGATACGTAGTACATCATGTTGTCCACATTGTACCACGCAGTCAAGTAATTGTAGAAGCTTTCCGGTCTAATTATGCCATTTTCGACCATTTTTACGTGGCCGACCTAAACATTGCCCTTTAGGTTAGGAAAGAAATCGCTGGGCAAAAGCTTGAGTCTTGTCTGTCGATCGTAGTTTCAGACCAGTTAGCAATTGAGGCAGCAGCGGCTCCTTCGAGTTCGAACTACATAATCATAGTGACCCAACAATCATGCCTCCACATTTTCGCTTATATAATTTGCAAATTCGAAGACACTAAAAGCTTTGGGTGTTCCGATACCAAAGACCCATTTAATTACGAAGTTTGTGCGAGTGTTGGTGTTCTCCCGTGTTATTCCGGGACGCTAGGATCCGTATAGAGGACGTAGGCTCGGAGGAGCCGTGAGCCCGTACGTCGATGGAATTCCACTCAAGACGGGGCTATCCTCACGAGATAGCAACACTATGAATTAATCAAGAGAACTGGATCACAAACCCAAAAGGCTCGCCCAGCAGAGGGAGCGAGCACGCGAGCGCGGCCTAAGTTCTTGTTGTATCCCAGACAGGCTCAACCGTTGCTGGACTGCACCCCATTCGTTGCACAGGGGTAAAGCGGCCGTAGCTGGCGTAACACTCTTGCTTTGTAGAGATTTTGAACTTACTCTGCCAGTGCAATTGTACGTGCGTCCATAGGAGCAGATCAGGCGTCGTGCGATCAGCGATTCTGGAGCTGGTTTGGGCTGAAATGATACCCGCTGATGATCTGTTCCAATGAATATGACAAAAAGTTAAAATCTACTTTCAGAAACCAACATGAGATAATATCAATCATTTTGACTATCTCCCGCTATTCATAGTTCAATTCTAAAATATTCTAGGTGCCTTTTGTCCTATTTGAGTGTATTAGATATTGATTCTAGTTCGTGTTTAATAACGCTCGCTTTATTTTGAGCTGTTTTTACGAAGAAACAACCAAGGAGCAGAAAATGAATCTGTGAACTGAAACTGACGAACCTTTCCTTTTATTGCTTGCCCTGTTAGTGGATCTAGAGAACCATTTGCTACATCTTTCTCGAAGGCCTTTTGCAAAGATTCAAGCCACACTCGAAGCATTGACATCCAATACGGTTGAAGTTTTCCATTTGCTTTCACAATAAAACTCGTTGCTCCTGAAAATATCCAGTTTGATCTTCACAAACCTTCCTGTACTATCGGAAGCAAGTGTATTTCTGATTGAGAGTTGGTGGTGGGACCTTTTAGTGTTAGAATCATGTACTGCTTAAAAGGAAAGTAGCCACCACTTGTCCATCCACATTAAAATCATTAGTTGTACAGTATGTTGTGAGCAAAATCTTCCTGTAGGAGACCCCTTTTCCTCCCGAGCACGATACGACGAGCACCCACCCTGAACCGC